TCAACATGGCTGTTTTTCAGAACCACTGAGTGAAAGAAATAAGCTGCAGAGTAACATGTCAATGTGATATTTCTAAACACAAAACAATACACTTGGACTTCTAAGTTTCCTTCTGATTCTGAAATTATTTTATTGAATTTCACAGCAATATGTTATGTTCCTATAACTATTTGCATCTGAGTGTTTGAGGAATTGTGCCCCGAAACAGTGTATTTTAGCAAATAAACTGTCATTAAGAGCAACCGATGTATCCTAAAGAATGAACACACCTGGAATAGCAGAAAGCTGTCGTCCTCTGATCAAGTAATCCATAGAGTTCAATATTAGTAACCACACACAGTGTGCTTAATGCTATAGAATAAGCACATATATAAAAAATTTCTCCTTTCCCCCCAGGTTGCTTATAAGAAAAAAGATGTGACATAAAGAGGCACAAGTGTATTCTGAGAAGAACAAATGAGATGTCTGGCGGAAGATATTTGTTAAGCAGTAACTTTCTACTAGACTGTAGACTATAGCAAGCCAGAATCCCTGTTCTGTAGATGTTGAAGTCACAAATGCCTTTAGATGTCAATCCCACAGATATTTATTGAGAACCTACTGTGTACAGGGTACTGTACTTAACATGGTTATGAACACAAAAATGAATCAGGAGTCCCAAGGAGTTTATGGAGCACTGGAGGATTGAGGTAACTATACAACGAGGCAGTGTGCGTTAAGGGCCATGAGAGCGACGCACACTGCTCTGTAGCTTGCAGGAGAATGAAACTGTTTTCGTTGGAGGGACTGGGAAGGGCGCTACAGGGGCTGTATCACACGTTTATAAACGTGTGAGTGAGAGTGGCAGGGCAGTTTCTCCTCTGTGTCATAGCTCTGGTTAGTATTTGATCCCTCCCCTTAAGAGAAATATTACTGTACATTAATCCTTTTGAAGCTTTTAATGGTGCTGCTGAGAATCATTTAAACATTTAAAATACACACCACATAGTACACTTAGTTTAGAGACAGCCATGGTTAGCCACTGGAAAACTAACCATTGGTTTTGATAAAGGGGGGACTTTTGTGTGTTATGGCTTATGACAGAAAATGGAAAAATGCTTCAGTGAGACAGGCTGGCATTTTAAATTGGAGCACAATAATAGCCAAAAGTGCTGAAGTCAACGGACTGCTTAGAAATATGGTTTCCATTTGCTGAGCGAGGCCTTGCGAGGTGGCCACATACACGCGTTTGTAACCACAGTCAGTTCAGTTTTTCCCTAAATGTGGGACTGCGACCCTGATTGACGTCAGTGTCATGTACTTGTAGAGAAAAGAGATTTAGGTCGTCCATGAATCCAAGACAAGTAGAAAATCAGCAAATAAGCAATGAGTTATAATAGACCTACATATTACACATAACTTAGGTTGGAAACCATGCAAAGGTGACAGTGCTCTTCTGAATCTTCTGGAGCTGGCTTAAAAATTCTCCCTTTCCCCACAAACCTATTAAAATAAGAATTGATTACCGGTCTATAAAACTTGAAGACAGTAAAGAAGGTAGAAGGAGATATGTAAGAGAGTCTTAGAGGTGACATTTGATTTGTGACTTAGACAATACAAAGGAGATGGTCACGGGACCTGGAGGATGAGAATTCCAAGGGAAAACACCAGCAAGTGGAACACATTCTGTTCCTCACAAACAGAGAGAGTAATGATGACCTTGGGCAAATTGCTTTACCACTCTGGGCCTCATTGTCTTCATTTGTAAAGTTAGAGGGTTGGATTGAGTGAGCCTGAAGGAATTTTTCAGCTCCAAAGTTCAATAAAATAAAGACTAGTTAAAATAGGCAACAGAGCCAAATGTAGTTTTTGTTTGTTTTTAAAGATGGCAACCGTAGGGGTGTTTGAAATGTTAAGAGTAGATGGAATCATTGAGAGGCAGAAAATGTTGGCATGAGAAAAATGTCAAATGAAACAAGGTTCAACTAAGTGGAAGGGTATGGTGTTGGGGGGAATGCTTCTTTCTCATTTCTGATGTTTCCTTCCTTGTGGGGGAACTCAATTAGTGTAACAATCCTGGTCTCTGTGCCTTTACTTCTTCTAAGGGAGGAAGGGTGACTTAGTCTGATAAATTTGGACAGAAGAGACTAGGTATGCTCTGCTCATCTTCTCCCTTTTGCTTTCGTGGAGCAATCCTGACCACAGAGAGCTCTTCTCTATTCCTCCAGGCCGTGTTACCTGAGGGAGGCTACCTCCTCTTCTGGAAGCTTTCACCTGATCTAGCATTGCCTGCGGGTAAATCTAAATTTGGGATTCAGTTTCCAGGTAACTTTGGCTCTCACAGTAAGCCGTGTTTTCCAGTTTAGCCTTCATCAGTGATAATGGTTATATTTTGGTCTGCCTTTGCCATATCTTCATCTTATTTCTCAGTAAATTCAGAATTTGGGTGGGAAAGAAGTATACTATTTATTTGGCTCTCTCAAGATCCAAAAGTTGGATTCAGGGGAACAAAATAAGCTTTGATAAGAAGTAATATTGTTCTGTCTGAATCAGGTGAAGGCAAAAGTTATGAAGAACTAGAGATACTTTGAGGTATGATTGAGTTTCATAGATTCGAAATTATCTGAGTAAAGTAGGGGGCCAGATAATGAGCTACAAAGGAGTTGGCAGGCATGGAATTGGAAGGTTAAAAGAAAAAAATTTTAGAATTGCCTCTATGGAGAGAATACCAAAGAATCGACTAAAGAGAACCAAAGGATTGCCAGTCAGGGTGACAAACATTTAAGCATTTAAAATATACACCACATAGCACATTTGTTTTAGAGGCAGCAGTGGCTACGTGGGAAAGCTAACCATTGCTTTTGGTGACCATGATTTTGATAACAGGCTAGAATGGATAGGGCTCTAAGGCAGTCTCATTCTCTGCCCCCAGGGACAAAAGAAGTGAAAATTGCTCTGTAGAATATATTTTATTCTTAAGTTATACACATTTTCAGAAGTAAGTGAATCTATTAGGGTTGGACAATAAATGGTTATATCTATATTGTTATAAATGCTAAACTGTTTTTCTTCAAATATGATAGTTTAGACAGACACTAAATGGACCCCTGTCTAGTCGATGCAGGTTCTCTGTGTGTGTGTGTGTGTGTGTGTGTGTATTTTCAGGATTTTTTATTAAACAGGTTTCTAAAAAATGTGCAATCAAAATACTGCATGTTAGCAGCCCCAATTTATTGAAGGTTATTATTCATTAAATGACAGGGCAGAAAAGAAAATACCATGGCTTATCATCCCCTGTGCCCATTGACTTTTCTAGGACCAAGGGAAGTACCAGCTTTTCCGTAAAGTAATTGCAAACTATTCTTTGCATCCTTGATTTCTCTGTACATTTATTGCACTTTAAGGATACCACATACAGTTTGGTGGAGGAGGGAACAAGGAACAGGGAAGGATTTCAGGAGGTGGGTGCACTTGAACTGGGGCATGGAGGAAAAATAGGATTTGGCAGGTGGATATAGGAGGTGGGAGCCAGGAGCACTCCGTGTATGGCACATGGCTGAGTCCAAAAGGCAGGGAGACCTGGAGTCAGGTCATCTTCAGGGAGCAGTTTCTTGAGCAGGCCCTTTGGCTAGAGGACTAGGATGCAAGGGAAGTGTTATCTCCGTGACTGAGAAAATATCTCAAAACCTCGTGGTACAAGGCTCTAGGAGGCCAAATTTTTTAAGGTAAGGTGAGATTGTGATGAGGAAATAGCCCATGGAGAGGTAGAAACTGAAAAGTGAATAGGGCTGATTGTGGAATAAGATTCTAGAAGGAGAAGGAATAAAAGGGTCTAGTAGAGAGGCAGATAAAGTTGGAAGGGAAGTGAGGAGAAGTCAAACAGAATAGAAAGGGAGGACTTAATTTATTTGAAAAATCAAGCAAGTAATGTTGTTTTGTAGTTGATAAAAGAATGCCTCCTAATATTTAGAAGTATAAAAATTATTTTAAATATATGTACTCTGTCAGAGTTTTTGTTTCTTTTTGCCTGCCATTTCTTTTTCAGTTTTGGTAAAAGAATAAAAAAAGAACAGCATATGCTGAAAGAAATTAGGTACACAACAGGGACTGAAATAATTTCAGATAATTTTTCTTTTAGCCGGATTGCTGTTATACGATAAGAATACATTTTGATTCAGAACTTTTATGAAGAACTTGTGCATTTTATTATAACATCTGTTTCTACATTTTAATTTCTCTCCTTCCTTTTATAGGTATTTGCATGCTTTTTTTTCCAAATGAGAAGACCTTTTGTTTGCCACAAGAAGGCTATTATCCAGAATGTTAATGGGTTTTCAACTATTAAGATGTAATGATATACCTTGAGTATTTAACTATAAATTTGAAAAATCTCCATGAACAATCTCAAAGGAATAACTTAGAATGCACTCCTGGTAAATTGGCTCATTTTCCTGTAATTTACTGGAAGTGCTGATATAAGAGCAGTCCTAATGTGAAAAGTACATTAATCCCTGGAGTTACATTGTATGTATTAAATTATTACTCTCAAAGAATAAAATGTATGAGGCCATTTAGCCTTCATTCACACTTGTTACTTAGAATCACAGTAGAGAAACAAATCACTTATCTTTTGATGCACAAAATTAGAAACAATACATTTAATATCTTTTAAAACAAGAGACACAGTGATGCTCAGTTACACTTTTGCATAACAATTTCTCTTTTCCAAACGAGGACTGTTCTAGTTAGGAGCATGATTCTTCTGGCTTTGTGGAGGCCCATTTCATTCCATTGGTAATTGAAATATTTTTAGAAACTCATAATGCAGCTTTCTTTCACGTTAGTCAAAAAGATTAGTCTGCCTTCTAGCCATGAGCTAGAACCCTTCTACCCAAATGGGGGGTTATTTAAGAATGGTAGTCAACTTGCAGGAGTAGCAGTGGCAGGAGCATTTAGGTCTTATTTAGAATTTTGTCTAACTGTGTTTTTCTTCTTTGCCAGGGTACCGAAAGTTATGGACACATAATTTGCGACATCAGTTGTTTTTTTGGTAAGCAGCCATTTATGATTCTGGAAGATTAAGGGAGATAGGAAGCCTTAATTTGAGATTTTAACAAAGCTCTCAAACAACAAACTATACCATGGACGTCAAGCTGGACCCTTCCAGAGATGACCTGCCTCTCATGGCCAACACCAGCCACATACTTGTGAAGCACTATGTACTGGATTTACATGTGGATTTTGAAAGTCAAGTCATTGAGGGGACCATAGTGCTTTTCTTTGAGGATGGAAACCAATTCAAGAAAGGAAATAGCTCCACTGAGGAAACCTGTCAGTTGGAATCAAATGAAGCCTGCAAATTTAGGATGCCTGAACCCTGCCATATTCCTGTGACAAATGCAAGGACCTTCTCATCTAAAATGGAATATAATGATTTTGCGATCTGTAGTAAAGGTGAAAAAGATACTTCTGATAAAGATGGTAACCATGACAACCTGGAACAGGCTTCTGGAATTTCTAGCTCAAAGTACTGCTGTGACACAGGGAATCATGGGAGCGAGGATTTTTTGCTAGTGTTGGACTGCTGTGATTTATCTGTGTTAAAAGTCGAGGAGGTGGATATTGCTGCTGTGCCAGGTATTGAAAAATTTACAATGTCTCCCAAGCTCACAGTTGCTTCCGAGGAGCTCAGGAATCAGATTGTACATGAACTTGTGACTCTGCCTGCAGATCGTTGGAGGGAGCAGTTCGACTACTATGCTCGCTGCAGCCAGGCTCCTGGCTGTGGGGAACTCTTCTTTGACACTGACGCTTGGAGCTTACAGATCAGGAAGACAGGGGCTCAGACAGCTACTGACTTTCCTCATGCTATCAGGATATGGTACAAAACCAAACCCGAGGGGCAATCAGTTACATGGACTTCAGACCAGTGTGGCAGGTAGGTTATCTGAGCGCTCCACAGTCCCGTGCCTATTAATCTTATACACTACAAGGATATTCTCAGACAAGGGACCAACTCTGCAGAGATGCTCCTGTTTATTCTGTGACATTACCTAAGTAGCCTCAAATCCTTAGATCCATGGTGAAGCAGGTAAAGTCCCAGGCATGCTGAACCCTTAATAGGATTACTTCCCTTAAGTCAGGATGAAAAGATTACTTCATCAAGCCCCTTTATTTCTGAGTTAGGAGATTGAAAGGCACGCTTAATGATGAAATCCTGAGCCTAGCTCTGCATTGAGATCTCTGCTAGCGACTTCTAGTGTTGTAGATGTGCGTGATGTGTCTCTGAGTGAACATTTTCTCAAAGTTCCTTCATAGTTCCCTTGAGAGAGTAGAGTGCTGCAAAGTTGGGTTGGTGAGAAGCCTGGCAAAGTGCTTTCAAATAAAGCCAGCTCTGCTTTGTGACTTTCTTACTGCACTGTCTCTTGGCAGCTGTGCCTCCCTGGACTTTGTCAGTTGTATAAGGTGAACCCCCAAAGCATTGCAAGAGCTATTGTGAGGGGTGTTACAGTCAGTCCTGCCGAGACTGCATACTGGCTTCTGTGGATGTGATTCTTGGTATTTGATACCAAGAAGACCCTGGTTTTTAGTTCAAGAAGAAGGAATTGATGAGGCATCATTTTCTAGGGGATACATTTAGGCAGCCATCTGTCCTTTTCCTAACAGCCCTTCCTCTAACAGTTGTTCAGATTTTTAAAATTTGAGAATTTTAAAATCAAACCTTATTGATCCCTCATTATTTTACCTATTTCTTTCTGCTAACATACTGTGAACCAATATGGTAATTATTGCAGAGCTTGGATGTAGGAATGTTGATCTCTGTCAGCTGGATGTGAGAGCCTTTTTTTGTAGCATTGGATTCCCTTTATTGAAGCAGTGGTCTTGGCAATTGCTTACATCACTTCCTCAACACCCCCCTGCCCCAATAAAACCTTTTAGCTTTTTTTTTTCAAAGCATTACTTTGACTTTGAGCCCTAATTATCCCATTCCTTGCCTCTAATCTTACCTCCTGCTCTGGTCTCCCACCCTGCTCAGAATGAGTTCACTTCCTGTCTTACTTCTGCAAGAGTGTGAGGCAGCCCTTGGGAAAATTGCAGGGTTGGTACAAACTTACATCAGTAAAAAGCATAGTGATTTATTTATAGAATAACTTATTAGATGTTCTTTGGAGATCATGAGGGAAAGAAACAGGTGTTCTTATTGTATCTTCACATTTTTTGAAATTATTAAAGATAGGAATTTCAATAAAATTTAACAATATACTGGTGAATATTTAACTGGGAAATTGTAGTTTTTATACTCCAGATATTTCATTTTTGAGCTATAGTAATGGAGAAAAAGAAACTATTGACATTATTTGGAAAAAATATTGATAGCCTCAAACATGACTTTCTCCTAAGTGCTCACCATAAAGAAAGAGATTAGACTTATGAATTAAATTATATGCAAAAGTGGTGAGTAAGAATGAGTTATGGATGATAAATGCTCGTGTCTATAAAGAAACTAAAGAGGTCGTTGGGCACATTTTGCTCCTTCAAAGGGTGAATTTACTGTCGATATCTCCTTCTCTGATAATTCAGTAAAATGCATGATCACAGCAGCAGTTTAAACTGTATCCCTGGAAGTTCGTGATTATATGTTAGTATGTTAATATCATTTATGCAATCTTACAAGGATAAGAAACGTTGTTTTTAAAAAGGAATCCTAGAAATACATTTTTTTCTCTCTTTTTTTTCTTATTTTGCGGGGTGAGAATTTTATTATAGTCAAGATAATCTTCCACAAATGGCCCCTGAATCTCTCTAAAGTCTCCCATGTGCTTAAGAACAAACGTAAGTATGTACTGGCAACTATTTGGATACTTTAAAGACTTTAAAATGACTAAGGATCCCAGGTTGCTAGACAGAAATAATTCCTTAGTGATATGCGTGAATAGTAATTATCAGGATCACAATACTTTATGAATATAATTGTGTGAAAATAGAAAATTTTACAATTATGTGAAAAACATAATTAGGTAGATCTTATTCCACCAGGGCATAGAGTCTACATTTATTAAAACTAAAATAGTTGCTACATATTTACCCTCGAATGGCAGAATATTACCAGTATAACTACCATAAATTTATCAGTCCCAGTGAGAAACTTTTTATTTCCATTTTACAGGTAAGAAAATTGAATAAAGTAACTGGAAACTCCTAGAAAAATCCGTATCTCAAATGTGAAAAGGAGAGACTTTTCTTACTTTTGATCTTGGCTATGTCACTTACTGTATGCAAAGTTTTCAAGTACATTTGAAAGATAAATTTATTATTTTAGCTTTCAGTAAATTTCTATTTTTAAACAAGAGAGTAGACAGAAACTTTAAAAAAATCTCTAAATTGGTAGCTTTGCTTTCAGGTTCCATCCGTGGCTTCTCCCCTTCCCACCCTCACCTGTCCTGGCTGAGAATAAAACTTAAATCACTTTGTTTGATAATAAATAAACAATCATTTAGAAGGTTGCTTGATCGCAGGATAGAATGAAAAATGTGACACAACAGGCTAACTATATTATAAATATTGAAACACCCTCATCGAAGGGGGTAGGAGGAAAGTCCTAAGTAACTTTGGGAATGAGTAGAGCCTGTAAAACTAAAGGCAAAAGGAACTGTACATAAATACTATGGTTTAGTTGATAAAGTTGTTTCCTAAGAGGGCACAGGTTACACATTCTGGTACCACACTGTACATGTGTTCTGAAGTTGAGCAGTTAAGTAATTGGATGGCAGATGGTAGAAGCCAGGTTTCTCACTTTTGAAGTGGGAGGTTACAGGTAAGTGAGGGGAAGAGTCTGGAATGGTCCGTGCAGTAGTGGATTAGAATCAGAGGTATCACAGTGAATTCATATTTAGCTTAATTTAGATAGGGATGGTTGCATATAGAAATAATTGTAGAGAGGCGTGTTTCTGTGGGTTAATATACACACATATATATCTTTGCTTGTCAGCTGAGAGGGTCTAGAAGTGAACATATCTAGCCCAGATCTTGGTTTCTAATGTCATTCTCCAATAAAAGGAACCAGGGCTTCTTGGAGAATGGCTAGAACTGGGACAGGAAATATACAAGATGAGCATGGAACAGGTAGCATCATAAAGTAAGGAAACAGTCCAGCAGCAGCACAGCCGCCCACACGGCGGGGGTATGGCAAAGGGACGAGGAGCCATCTGAACAAGCAAATGGCCAAAGCTGAGCCACAATATACATAAGGTACTTTTGGATGATAATCCAAAGTATAAAATAAACAGCCACGAGTCCAAGCTGACATAAATAAATGATTGAATAAATAAACATGGGGAAGTACAGACAATTCCACCATGCAGAAGAATTCCAATTAAGTTATGTACGTATTCCATCATTGGGAAGGTGGAGCATAACTCCTCACTCCTTAAGTGTGGACCACACGTAGTGACTCCCTTCCAAAGAGCACAGTGTGGAAGGGGGTTGGGGGAAGTAACTTCACATTGGAGAAATCCGACAGTACTACCTCAGCAAGATGACCAAGGTCAACATCAACAGTGATAAGTCATGCTGATAGTATGAACCCTTGGTATGATGTGATGAAAGTGGCATCTTCCTCCCAAAAGCCCTTAACGCTAATCTAATCATAAGACACCAGATTTATCCCAGTCGAGGGACATTTGACACAACACCTGATCAGTACTCCTTAAAACTGTGAAGTCAGCATAAACAAGCAAAGCCTAAGAAATGGTCACAGTCAAGAGGAGCCTAAGGAGATGTGGTATCCTGAAACGGAAAAAGACGTTCAACAGAAACTAACGAAATCTGAATGAAGTCTGTATGTTAGTTAGTAATAACGTGTTAGTATTGAGTCACTAATTGTGACCAATATAACATGCTAATGTAATACGCCAATAATAGGGAAAATTGGGCATGGGGTATGTGGCAACTCTGTGTATTATCATTGTAGTTTAAAAAATAAATATAAAACTCTTCTAAAATAAAAAGTATATTTAGGCCAGGCACAGTGGCTCACGCCTGTAACCCTAGCACTCTGGGAGGCCGAGGCAGGCGGATTGTTTGAGCTCAGAAGTTCAAGACCAGCCTGAGCAAGAGCGAGACCCTGTCTCTACTAAAAATAGAAAGAAATTAATCGGACAACTAAAAATATATAGAAAAAATTAGCCGGGCATGGTGGCGCATGCCTGTAGTCCCAGCTACTCGGGAGGCTGAGACAGAAGGATCGCTTGAGCCCAGGAGTTTGAGGTTGCTGTAAGCTAGGCTGATGCCACGGCACTCTAGCCCTGGCAAAAGAGTGAGACTCTGTCTCAAAAAAAAAAAAAAAAAGTATATTTAAAAAGACTTCAAGTTTGGAAAGAGGTCCCTATCTTTCTATCTCGAAATTCCCCTTTGCTAAGCTGTCTTCCCACTTTTACCAGGTGTCAATGTTCTCTAGAGAAGAAAATATATTTGAAGCTGTAAAACGGTATTTCTTCTAAATAATTGTGAATGATTTCTTCCTCCTTATCATTCTAGTTCTAAAATGAAATATCTGGACATGGAAAACTCCATTTTCCTACCTTAGTTTAGCCATTTGGAGATTGTGCCAGCTCTTGCACCTAAATGCTCTTTCTCGCCTCCATCATTCAGATACTGGATTGTAGGTGACACATAAAAATGGTTGACAAAAGGAACATGTATATTCAATCTGATACAACATGCTTCTTGGAAAAGATGTTTACTTGTGAAGAGTGTGTGTGTGCGTGCGTGTGTGTGTGTGTGTGTGTGTGTGTGTATGTGTGTGTCCTTTAAAATATTTCAGTGAGAGCAAGGACAGGGTTAAGAGTATGTAAATGTATTTTTACAAAGCTTTTAGAAAGGAATGAGACACTATCTTTTTGATTCTAGATCCTCAATGTCCCTAAGAAAAAAACTTTA